TCGGTGTTTGGGAGGGGGTCAGAATGTAAGGAGTGATCAAACTGACATTCTGTTCGATCTCGGAGTCCCCAGCGTCCAACTTGCAGATTACTAAGAAACAAAACTAACAATAAGAAAAATAATTTTATTTGAAGGAACTCAAGCTGGTATTACATACTAAACGCATATACCAAGTATGGTATAAGGGCAATTACGGTTATTCAAGACAGACGTTGCAGCCGTGTACGGACGCACACATTCACACGATCTCGCGATGAGTTCGCGTTGTATATCGCTGGTAGCTCAAGCGCCTTTTACGATAACAACTAAGAGTGCTACATCATCAGATTCTCTGAAATTTTAGAAAAATATATATTCTCTCTAACTCTATCTCTTTTAAAATAGGTGATGAATTACAGGCACAGCGACTTGTCAACTTATGTCTCAGGGTGACAGGCGCAGTGCCCCTATGCTCTTTGTGATGTAAAGCTCTGAGTGGCACTGCTACTGTTATGGACAGGCGTGTAGCTTACCACCAGTCACGCGTCTTGTTCGCCCTTGGTATTATAAAAAAATTATTGAATTAAACATTTCAATAAATATTATGTTTATTGTTGTAAAAGGTAACTTAATAGTAAAATTACGAAAAGTATGTGAATAATTTGCTTCACATTCTAAATACTTAACTAGTATTAAAAAATAACAATCTTGTGGAATGAATGAATCTCATTATAATGTGGGAACAGAGCCAGCCGCTAGGCTGTAGGTTGTGCAACGAAAATATGGTTAATTTTAAATTGAATGTTTATACCCTTAATTTAACATTTTAAAAAATACGACATCTTCATTAAAAAGCTATAGTTAATTACAACAGAAACTACCAAATCTACTAGCGATATTCGTTAATTTGTGAGAATAAGTTCTTAAACTCTTCGGGAATGAGGTACCAGTAGGCTTCCATTGTCCAACTAAAACTATGACGGGCTAAAACACATTCCGCTGGGAGGAAACTTTCTAAAATACACTCCCTGAAAATGTAATACTAACTCCGGCGTTATAGACCGTGGAAAATTTATGGTAATAATGCCATTATTCGGTCGTCAAAGCTTTGTTTACGCCCGGCTGTGGAAAGGTGGCTAATGGTGGTCCTCTGTACTACAATTCGTTTCATTCACTTTACGCTTTTCTTCGCTTTGCCCTAGAATTGATTTTGTTATAGATAACAAACAAGATGACATAAATGTCCTGTCACGAATTGCATTGATATTTTCTTTAAAACATAATTAATACTCGTAACTCTGCGTTACAAATGCATGCGATGTCTCCGATGTTGTTACTGTATTGAATTTATATAATACTGCAGATAAACTTCTGCTTTATTAAAATGAGTTCCTCACCCCGCGCTTCGCGTTGGTATCTCGGAATCTCCTTGCTTTTCAGACTGATACCAAACAAGATTACTAGATATTCTTGAGAAACTCGAATTAATCCTATCTGTTTGCGACTCGCGTTTAGTTTGAAGGCGTTTGCTCTCGTTTAGTCCTTCAACTCGTGGGTTTTGGAAGTGAATTAGTAATTCTAAGTTGAATCTCGGCAATGGGCAATACATAATCCATGTTATGGTTAAGCCTAACCCTGTCAGAACATACTCTTATATTATGATTTATACCAGGACTTGTACGTTATGTCCCTCAATCCCCAAAAGGACGGAGGGTATGGGTATAAATTTACACGATATAATGCTTTGTAGATCATTATATTTTATCACGAACATTGTCCTTATTTCGCCAAGTCACATAACGAGATAATAAGTAGAAATTTTACATACAGCTTAGGCGTTTTTGATGCAGAAGAACTTAAGTTCGTCCAGGTAAGCTGCCACCTTTCCTATTTCTGCCAGGCCGTAATGTGAGCATTATTGAGTTCCAGTTTAGAAGGGTAAGCGTGCTGGTAAAATTACAGGCACATGGGACTTGTCAACTTATGTCTCAGGGTGACGGGCGCAGTGGCAGTGCCCCTCAGATCTTTGTGATTTAAAGCTCTGAGTGGCACTGCAACTGTTATGGACAGACGTCTCGCTTACCACCAGGCGCACAAGTTGTTCGTACCGTCACTTAGATAAGAAAAAACACTTACTAAACCGCACTAAGAAAACCCTGTGTCGCGGGTACTTTGGATACACACATGGACAATCACAAATTACACCAAAACTCACGAAAGAAATAAATGTAGACCATAGAAATATTTCTCCCGGCCCGGGACCTCTGCGTGGCAGACCAGCATGGTAACCGTTCGGCCAGTTAAGAACAAGGCAGTTAAGAACATACGATGTCGACAAAATTTGTATTAAAAATAAAAGCTTAGTTCCGGTTGCACCTCGTAGTTTTCCGCAACGACGAAGAAAAACAAAATCAGAAGGTGCAATTACGATAAGTTACGACCTCAATAACAGTGGCTCGCGAGCTTGCATTGGCAAACAATTTTACTCGTTCAGAGAATCGACTCGGTGAATTAAGTTGCCGAGTGCGATCAATATGAGCTCTATTAGCCGTAATTTGTTTATATTTGCCGCCAGTGGTGGCGTGACTGCCTGTAAATAATATTCCAGAAGGTAACGGCTGCGTGGATTTCCGATTATCCTCGTTCTGCAAATTTCAAGCTAGTTTCGGTTAAGTTCGGGTCGAATCGATCGACAGTTTACGCTCTACAGTAATATAAGTTCCGTGGAGTTTCGCAAATAATTCTAGGCGATTTGCTAGTAGGAAGTTAAGGTTATACCGAGGAAGTTGTGTAGCGTGACGACAATCGTGATAAGCATGATGCCTGTCGTAATGGTAACGTTATAGTTAACGACTCGAGTGAAAGGCTGTTCGCTACAATAACTTGAGGAGTTGACAAATACATATTTGTTATCGCTTGTCCTTAATGATGGAGATGTTGAATAGTAATTGGCTATTTGTACATCAAAATGTATTGTTCCTTTCTTATTTTATGTACAAGAGATTTGGAAGTAAGTTTTGTAACACTTAGTGTACGGTTATGTACAACATTGATTTGCTGCATTTACATGGTGTAGTTCTAGTTTTATTTTGCTGTAGTAAGATATGCTAGTTCCAGTTATTTTGTTGATGTGGTAATCGTATTATGACATTTTATTGTATTTTTAAGATAGTTAGTTACCAACTCTTAAACAGTAAACATCAATAACATTTAACATTAACATTTAACATTAACGTTTAACATTAACATTTAACATTAACATATTTAAAATATTTACAATACTTTATCTTACATGTTCATTTATAATTAAACAACATTACTTTTAAACTTATAGCATTTTTAATTCCAACAATTACTCCGAAAACACCCTCGTGGTAATGGTTACTATCTCGCGATCACGAGGTAACATTCTGTAAGGACAGAGTCGCAATCTGCCCTTACACTTAGAGCGGTTACAGACGGCGACTTATAGCAGCGATACAAACTCAATGCAAACGCGATGCAGCCGCTAATCGCCTACCTTTACACACGTGCGCGATTTTAACGCGCGATTTCATCGCTACACTTGGGATCTAAAGGCGATTGCATCGATGTAATCGCTCGTTTGTATCGATGCAAAGTCGCCGTGCGTAACCACTCTTAGATACCCATCTAAGAGTGGTTGCGCACTTTTCCTCTCTGTACCCACCTAAGAGAGGTTGCGCACTTTTCCTCTCTGTACCCACAGAGAGGAAAGCGATGTTATAAGCTTCTTTTCAGGCAACTGTTGTTAGAAGGTGTTTCGGCATACCTAAGAAGTACTTAAGAATAGTAAAATGATTATAGGAATAAGCAGGGTTCGAAATGATTTTGATATTTACAAAAATAATTACAGGGTCCGTCCCAAAAGTATCGAACATTTTTTTTGGGAGTGTTGCCGAACGGCGGGAAGCGCTCCGCTTGGCAACAGAAAGTGGTGGGGGGATCTAGCCGATACAGCGCGACCGGTCCCAGTTGGCTCCGAGCACCTGGAGCGGCAGGACGTGCGTTCGCGTAGAGCTCTAAACGACACCTCGTCTAAGTTTTTAAAAGTAGCGCGATGACGGATCCGTAGATAGACAAGTAAGATAACTTCAATAATAATTATGATACAGGAAATTAAATGCTTTTTCAAACAAGCCAAAACGTTTCGAGCTCTTTTTACAGGTCTCATGGTTACTGCTGACTCCTGTTGGACACGGTTGGACCTCTAAAGGGCCGAAACGTTGGTTTGTTTGAAAATACGCGATTTAAATCCGGAAAAGTTTCATTTCCTATGTGTAACAATCGCGAAAACCTAAGACCTCGATAAATAATTATGATAATTATAAATTATGATATAATCATAGATATTATATCTATGGATATCATAAATAAAAATGGTAATTATAAAGAACGACGATAATTATAAAAGATAAATAAGTTGGTATTAACAAAATTAATTGGAACAACGAAATGTTACACCTAGCATCGTCATGCCATGTGTTTGTATCTGAGATGTATCCAAACGTGTCAAATGTCAATCTCAAATAGTTACAAACCAAATCGTGTGCCCAACGATTTTTCTTCGTATTTATTTAATTTTGTCACTATTTGCCATTTTTAGTCAAAATTTAAAAAAACAAAACTATGAATCAGCAACGATAATTGTGAGATATTTATCACGATAAGTATTAAATAATAATCAAAGAAAATAAAGTAATTTCGAATCCTGATAAGAAGACATAACTTGTAATAGTGACATAATAAATTGTAGTAGCATTTGAACTTTAGTGGTTTCATTCAAATACATTATAAGATTGTTGGTAGAAGTATCTAGCTTTTCAAGATAAATTCTTTTGATGCTTCTTTTGCTCTGGGCCGAAACTAACCTACGCCCGTGTAGTCTCACCGGTTAACACTTTTGGTATTTCCTCAGAGGCCACTATGAAACGGATACCTGTAGTCGTTATTACATTTAGTTATATATAATAGCAATTCCCTAATGAGACAATACACTTTACCTTTGGCAAGCAGCAACACTAGGAGCAGTAGCGTGCGCGAGAGCGCATGCGTGCGGGCCATGCTGCACCGCTTACTGCAGTGGCCGACTGTTTCCACACACTGCGCAGCTTACCACGCGCATCTTGTTATACCTGCAATATATATTTTTTAATTTTAATAATGAGGAATTATATCATTTACCTGTATCGAGGAATTTTTATTTTTATTTTTTCATTTAATTCAGGCCAAGTGACCCATATAAAATATACAATAAGGACTAGTACAATATACCTATAATAATAAACTAAATAACTAATCTACACGAATTGTACTCGTCGGCGACGTGTGGCGCCACTGTCGTCAGGTAACCGGTTGCGGATCGCCGATATATTACCACCCTTCGACCTAAACGCTTCCTTCATGAAGGTCGACAGATGTTCGGTCGGCCTCTCACAACAAACGAATTAAAATGTACGTTGTGGCGGAACTCCAACTGCTCGACCTTCATGGTGTATTTGGCTTTTAATCTGATGTACTCCACTATCTCCTTAGACTTCGTGGAGTAAGGTAATCGCGACAGGTACAGCAGCGTCGTCGGAATGGCTGGACGCAGCAAAAAGTTCGATCCTATCGGTGCTGTGCCACACAGTGACCACTTTTTTGAAGCCGTCCTCGTCGCACTGGCCCCTCTGCCTCTGTGATTTTACAACTTCAGAGTCATTATTGAGATAATTGGAATTATTCTTTTATATTTGTTTCTCTATAAGTTAAGCGTATATATGTGTATCCGTAAGCTAGTGATGACATTTCTGCCTTTAGTACTCTATGAAAGGGTTGGCCAAACTACCAGATCATTAATTGTCCACGTCACTGTGACGGTTAACTTTCCGTTAATTACTAACTCGTTCGACATGGTACAAGGCCACTAGAATTGTCGTCGTTAAGGCAATTAATATTTATGATCCTGACATCTTAACCCGCATGGAACCGAAGACCTACAATTTGAGTTTACAAATAGATTTAATGGAAGGTATTCAAAATCATGGTAACAATTTGTACATAGACATAAACTACTTTTTTTACGCAAGAGTAATTTTTTTTTTAAATTTATTTATAAAAAAAATAAGTGCGCATTTGACTTCCATCTCACCTGATGCGGCGACGAGGTTGACGATGGAGCATGTACACCTAAATAATGCCAATGCACTCTCGCCTTTTGAAAAGACCTAAGTTATAGTGCTCAGGGAATTAGTCTGGAGGCAGGGAGGTTCATTCCATAGCTGTTCGCCGTATAAACGTGGAAGCGAAACGTTTCGTGCTAATCTTTGGAATATCGCGCGATGATGGAAAAAGGAAGACTGAATGAAATCGTGCAATTTTGTGGCGTATTTAGGGATGATTATAAACTTTGGTTCTTATATCGATTTGAAATTGAAAAGATTGTACGTAATGGAGACAAATATTGTTCTGCGAGACCCTTTACGTACAATAGCCAAAAGCCAAAGATTTATACTTATAAATTCAAAAATACCCTTAACTGACCACGCAATTTGAGATTCCCTATAAGGCTACAATAAACACCATATAGTTTAGTGTTAAAAGTCATGTTAAAAATAAAGAAAAAAATATCGAGTTATATAGGCAAGTACGCAATATAAACTAACATCACAATGTAATTATGGTTACTTATTTGACTAATTCCCATTACCCGAGATATGAAAACATGTTATTGCATTCATCGTGTCGATCCCATTTAATCCCCTATTAAAATTCAATCTCATTTATCGAACCAATTTGCAGAGATGGGGAGTGTCAACAAATCCCTCCATAGCAAACATAAAGGTAAAGCGGATCATCTATCTGTTTATCTTGACTGATCACGCGTGAACCAGTTGCCTTACCACGAACCGAGAAAGCCCGTGTAACGAAATCACCCACGATCCTTATAATCCGTGACGTCTGTCTGCAGACACGATCCTCGGTAAACTTTAGTATTAGACATTTTTGTGTGAACGGGTTTATTGTCGGCTATAATTCGGTTATTAGGTTACAACATGGTGGCGTGATTAATTTCGTATAATGAACGTTACGATGTGTATTGTTAAAATTACGATTATATGTAGATGTTAAAATACGTATAGTGATTTTAATTAATACAATTTTGATACATGGAAACTAACTGCGTCATTATTCATTATTTCAGTTCCCTCTAAATTTATTTATTACATAATAACATTTATTTTAATTAATTTTCTTATCGCACACAACACGCAACCTAAATGCATTCATTTGAAATTCTGGCAACACTATATCCTCCCGTCCGTGCTCTCCTGCTACCTAACACCGCTACCTAAAACAACCGTTACGATTAATAAGACCAGTGTACGCGAATGATATGTGAAATACTCAACAAAACTCTTTCAATACTATTAAAACCCCGCTTAAAGTCACATTCGTCATTCAAAAAGATGTGTACATATTTGTGGCACCTAAGTCCTGGCCCCTCCAGAAATAATGAGAATATTGTATCTAGTGTTGCTCGAAATGGGTATCGGTTTTGTTCTAATATTTTTGCAAGACCAAGACCATAACCAACTAATTGTAGCAAGACCAAGACCAAACCCGACACAGTAAGATTTGAGCACGAACAAGACTGAATCAGCGAGACTCTTGCGTTACGTTAAACTCAGACGTGGGCGTTAGGAATTAAATTCATTAGTATCGGTATAAAAAAAAACACGGTTTCTTCTAACAAAGTTGACTGGTTTTTATTACATGATAAGTGGCCGATGATTATATTTTGAAGTAAGTAGTTTGATTACTCATATAAAAGAATGTGTACCTGTAATAATCACTAGCACACTAGCGAAGTTAGCGAATTATCAACAACAACAGAACACCGAAAATCGAAAAACTAATGAACCGGTGCGGACGGCGCGCGGCGCTCCCTCGAGCGGGTCGGGTTATGTACCTTGTACCCAAAACAAACACTAACTAGTATTATTATTTATTAGTAGAGTAATAAATTATTACTATTTAATAAAGCGCGGGTTTGGCGTAAATGACTGAAATTATAACCAGCTATTTTATGATCTTAAAAAGGGAGTAAAGTTAATTTTTCGTCATAAGGTTGACCTTCACGCACTCAAAATGTACTATTTTGCGTTGTTCTAAACTTTGAACAACCCCTCATTGTTGGTTTTTGCAAGACTTGCAACAAGACCGACACCACCAATACTGAGTCGGCAATACAAAGACCGCGTGTTTTGGTCTTGTATTGGGCAATACTAATTGTATCTCAAGTCCAGCACTAGAAATAGTATGATAAAAATTACTATTCTGACACCATAATTTTTACTACAATATTACGTTTAAAAATACATGGCACCTAACAAATCCCATTCCGCGCATAGCGGGGGTAAGAACCGATCCCCTCATATATACGGGTAAAGTTAAATAAAACGTTCCGGAGTTCGCTTAATTGGGCTTTTTACAAACATTAATCAAGTGTTACGTCAGGGGAGAATTTTTATGTCGGCCCGAGACGCGATAGCCGTCTGACGGATGACGGGTGGCCACGAGGGCGCTGCGAGCTGCATTCATCAGTCGGATTTACCCAGCCGAGACGTGCTGAGGTGAGACACCCTGAGCCCCCGCCGCACCTGCCCTGCCGCAACCCTCTAAATCTCACACGAAGGGAAGAACTATGGTGCTGACTTTACCATCAACAGGTGATTTACCGTAAATGACAGACCTTACAAGAAAACCGCAATTCAATGTTGTTTACGAGGACGTGAAAGATTACCTTTAATGTCACCCTGTGACACCAATAAGACTGCGAAGTTTTTAGGGGCTGTTTTACCCATCAATACTAACAAGTTTTGGTATCGGGCTCTCCGTAATAAAATTTGTTCATGTTAATATAATAGTCAGGAATACTATTGCGAAATATCTAAGGGGAAATGCCTCAGAGCTAAGCTCGTTGGCCTGGTTACCTAGTTGAAGATCACGTAATTGTTGTGATTGTCTGGCATTAAATACTCCTTTTTTCCTGTTGAATTCAGCTATTCTTTACCATCTTATTATTAAAGGCTATGATTAAAAGTCTATACTCGGCCCAAATGTAAAGAGGATTCAGCTATTTGTTTTCCCATTATACTTTACGCTCCTCCACCATAACGTAATAATTAAAGTAGGTATCTCGTACTTTAGCGTTGTAACATAAAAGCTCGGTTGCCCCTGAATGTACTTTCAAAGATTGTCAGTCGTATAAAGGAATGAAAATAAATGGGGCCACAACACTTTCGAGTTCGGGTGGTCCATTACAAAAAAAATCTGTCTGCCGAGCGGCCGGCGGGTGTAAAAATAAATAATAATAACAGGAGCACAGTAACGTTGCGGTTTGTAAAGTAAACACTGCATCCGTGATGTGGCGACTTCCGACGGTGTCCGATGATACAAGGCAGTCATACTCCAAGTACTTGTGTCTTGGGAAATGAGGGCGTTTACCTTTCAAAATGAACTTTACATTTACGTTGGATATTAAATCCGTAGGTAAGAGACATGTAAGAGATAAAGAACTTTAGATGTCAAATAGTAATATTGACTACAGAGCGTTTTAAAGAGAATGAAACTCAAGAGAAAAACAAACGACAATAGGACGTAATGACTTTTACCATTACGTAATTTTTAGCATTTGAAGTACTGCCACCAATTATATCTGCCGCTTGGCAGTAATTTGTGTATTACTGCGTGCAGTTTTGAAGAGTAAATGTGCTGGTGAAAACACAGGCACATAGGACTTGTCAACTTGTCTCAGGGTGACGGGCGCAGTGGCAGTACCTCACAGATCTCTGTGATTTAAAGGTCTAAGTGGCTCTGCAACGGCTATGAACAGGCGTGTCGCTTACCACCAGGCGCACAACTTGTCCGTCCTGTCACTCGACATAATAACAAAAAACTAAATCAATTTTCGGAAAACATCTTAATTCTTAAATCGGGACCTAATGGTAACATATTACCTACATGTAGAAATTCATCTTCTGGTTTTAAAGTCGACTACTAATACGAGATCTCGGTACTTGTGGGCTACGTGTCCATTTTCACAATGTAAAAAAAACGCTGCTTACTCGTATATTTACGGTGGATGCTT